AGAGAGGATCAATTCTCTTCTCGGGGTATGGTCATACTACATCCTTCCAGCCATCCCAACTAAATCATTTGCTATTCAATACAAGGACACCTAACATGATGAACACAACTGAAGTGTTTGCTGGGACTTCCATTTCACTGTTGTAAATTCCAGGTAAACTACTTTTTCTTAGTTTTAATAAGGTTGGCTTCTGCTGAGCTACAGCTTTCTAGAATGACAAGAGATATCATTTGGCATCCTTAAATCTGAATGTGTTGGGTTTTTTTGTCATGGAATAATAATCTAATTCCGAGTAAGGAGACTCAAAAGGCGTATGTTTAGGCCATGTAAGATGTTCAGTTTCTACTGGAAGAATTGCCATTCTACCAGTAGAAACCAAAAGTGCAAACATTCAAGCTTTTTCTCCTGGAGCAAAAATGGCCACTCTGGGAGAAAAATAATCCAACAACAACCAGGGAGCAATCGCTACTAGCAGAGTTTCTTCTTGGAGACAACATTTGCACACTTTCCTCTGACATAACTCCTCCTGGGGATCAGGAGCTGGTGGAAAGGCTCCAATGCCTTCCAGGGGTCATGCCAGCTTGGAGAAGCCATGACAGGGCAGCCCTGCCCACCTTTCCTGTAGACGAGGAGGGAAGGGGTGGAGTAGCAGCTGCAGATTAAATATCTGGAAACATTCCACCACTGGAAATGAATGTTTGTACATGGTCTTACAAGGCTTATTTCCATTCCATAGCTAGGGAAATCATCAAGTACTTTGTTCCACCATCTCTCCATTTCTAGTAGAAGGTTATTGCATACTAGACACTTTTTTTGTCTTTCTTTAAGGTGTGGATCAGATGCTTGGATCACCTGGGCATCTCTCACCTAATCTGTCCTCTACCACTGCAGGAACCTCAGATATTGGAGTAACTTGGCTTCCCCTGCTGTGTTCCTGTGGTGTATAACCATTAAATTGGGAGATGCTTTAAACTAACAAAGCTTATTGGGTCAATGCAGGGCATGTGAGCAAAATGTAGTGACCTAGTAGATACAGAAGATCACACTAGATGACTTAATGGTTGAAGTCTGTGAAATGTAAGAAAAACTATGGAACACAGTAAAAACAAAGATAAAACAAAAAAAAACTAGTACCCAGAAATACCATTCCAAAACATTTGCATCTCTTAATCAGGACAAAATACTTCATGAAGTACATGACATTTCTAATTTGTATATGCATATCTGGTTAATTATAACATTGGGGAAACGTTTCAATTCAGATTCGGATATTTGTCCAATATTTTGGACAAAAACTTGGGATGGCATTAATTTTTCTGGTTCCTCTTCTCCTCCCCTTATCTGGACTTCATTTTTTTCTTCAAAATGTCTCTTTCCTTCTTTTTCTCTGAGCTAAACAAACCCTTCAAATGAAAGCCATATGTTCTTTGTGCAAGTGAAGTATTAGAAAATATGGCCGAAAATTCTTGCAAACTGTGGTCCTGAACTATGGCAATGAATATACACTTTTCTCTGCTGTTAGAGTATTACAGAAGTGCATACAGGACCTGACTGAACTTGAGGCCCTACTGTGTTAAATATAAATGCATAGTAAGTAACTGTTGTAAGCCAGACAGCTTACAGTTTATATAGCCATGGCACAGAAAGGAAGCATAATTATTCCCATTTTACAGGTAAGAAATTGGGACACAGAAAGATTATAAGATTTGCCCAAGAAGTTTGTACAAGAAGTCTGTGGGCAGAGACTTCCCAAGCTCCATCCAGTCCCTTTTACACAAAGCCATCCCTTCTTTCAAGCTTTAACTCTAAAGGAGAAAAATACAATGGAGGTTCAAAGACACGAGGATTAAGTATAAAAATAAGCCTGCCAGCAGTGACTGAGAAGCGATGCCTGAACTTTGTCAAGCATCTTGATTGAGGTTGAGAATATGAGCCCAAATGAATATACAGGAAGCAATCATTTTTTCATGAGGAATATGTGCTTTATTGTGCACACATATTCTTCCTTCAGCAGACTGTAAATTACAGTATTTATGGAATCTTAATGAACTAAACACAGTTGGAGCCTGAAGGTCAAGGCTACAAACTGCATCCTAAATTTCTGTTTACAGATGAAGTACAGTATTTATTGCGGCACTGTTTGTGCTGCTATAGTTAAAGGTCTGCCAGCGTTTCCATTATAAACCACTATTTCAGGGGTTTATAACTCGCTCATCAATCTTACACTGGGATGAAACATGGCCGTTCAAGGTCTTGGCTTTGGGAACACTTTTTTTGTTTTGGCTTCTTTACCAAATTATAAAAAAATCTGTGCGCTAAGTTTTAAAGGTATGAAAACAATAGCATATCTATTGTTTCACATATTTCATTTTACTGAAACAGTAATTTTACTGTTCTGTAGCTTTCAAAGTAATATTGAGACCTGCCTACTATTTAAATAATAATTACAACAGTTGCACAATTGTTTAAGCAAAGATCTGTCCCGCCAGAAGTGTTAATAAAATAACCCCACCTAAAGACGTATCGGTGGGTTACGTTTTCTAGTCCCAAAATGACTTAGTGGGTTGCAAGTCAGTGATTTTCAAAGGTCCCAGATAATGTTTGCTTAGTTACAAAGTTAGGAAAACAATCTTAATGCTACGCTCCTGGGAGATGAGAGTGAATTAGATCCTTTCATGTAATAAAGGGTATGTCCTCACAGCAAAATGAAATCATGATTCTAGCATGTACTAGCATCTTAATTTTAATCTATTGGCACAGATAAAACAGGAGTGAAGATGCAACGGATAGGTTTTAGGGCATGCTACCAAACAAAGCACATATCCAGGCTCCCTGGAAGACTTGTTCACTGGTTGACAGCACATCCTAAAAGCCTATGCCATTGTCTCTTCCCAGTTTCCCAGTGGAGCTCTGTATTGCTGAGACTAAACTGCTTATAACGCCTGAGCTACCTCATGCAAAGCAAGCCTGAGTAACTCTACACTATAGACATATTTTTAAGTGATCCCAGGTGTGAATAAGGATCACAAGAACGGGGCCAACTGTTTCATTCTTAGATTGCAGCACATGAGAAGAGGGAAAGAGGTGCTGGGGGGAAGAATTAATTCTTTTCAAGGAACTAACTGAAGTTCCCAATGAAGAGAATCACATACCTTTGTTGTATTCTACTGCATATGTTACGGAGAATACATTCAAGCAAAGGAAAAGACTGAAACGAGTCAACATGGAAGAAGGAAGCTATATCCAAAGTGTTGCCACAGAACATCAAGCATTTTCATGGTCTGCTTTCAACAATTCTCATGCCCAATTTAATGAAACCACTAGGGAATAAGTTGCAGGATTTTCTCCTGCTTAGTCATTCTGAGTAACGTGTCCTGTCTGTACTTAGGAGAGCAGAAGTACTGCTTAGACCATTTTCTGTAGACTAGAGAAAGGCAAAGAGCAAAAGGAAAGCGCAGAATTTACATTGCACCCATAAGCAGGCAATTATGTAAGGAACACATGATAAGCATTACAAGGATATGAAAATGAAAAGGATGTAGTTTTGCATGACAAAAAGTGTTTCTCACTATCCCGAATGTGGTGTTTTCCATTTTGTAAAGCAAAAATAAGTACATATATGCTGCAGTCTCATTGTGTCAGACTAGATAGTATGCCCCTGTGGCACAAAGGCAACTGGCAATTCATTTTATCTGGCTTAAGCCATTTTCTGATTGCCTTGAGAAGTCAGAGTAACTCAAAGTAACCGCAGAATATTCCTGACTCTGGTCCACTAAGTCTTATTCAATTGCTCTTTGGTGAATATCTTCCTTCACGGCATAACAACCACTGGGGCAAGGAGGTAAGATGTTCCCACCCCAAATTTCACTCTTTTGTTCATGGCTGTATTTACAGCAATGTTCCCTCCACAACTTACTTTTCTGCAGTGACATGTTTTGAACCACTTCCATAACTTGGACCAGTTTCCCTCTCCCTGTGTTCCCGACGTCCTTATGCCCGCCGAGCCCCACCCCAAGGGCACAAACCAAAGCCTACAGATCTCCACATCTTGCAGCAGTTCAAGGGACAATAATGTTTTCCTTTGAGAGAACTACAAAAGAATATGATAATACTTGATTACTACCGACTAGGCCTTCAAATCTACATCTGTGGGTTAGAAAAGTGCTCAGAACTGTTTTGGATCTAATGGAACAGCAAAATGGTTTCCTTTGACCAAACACATTTTGTTATCTAATGAGAGCCATAAATGTTTCCAACGGCCAAGTTAGCTTTGAAATACGCAGTGAGACATACAAAAGCACATGCTTTTTTCTCAAGAAGCTGAAAGGTAGATTGCTCAAGACATTTCAAGCTAAACACTTCAATGTACTCTAGGAAACAAACCTTCCCAGGCAAAAGGAGACAAACATTTTGCCTTAAAAGTTCTTTTCTATCTCAGGTTTCTAAGAGGATAAGTTAGGTTCAGGCAAATAAATGCCTTAACATGCAGTCTGCGGGGCCACCTTTGTTCGGGTGAAAATGTCTGAAGAGGGCAAAGAAAAAATGCCATATTAATGCAGATTTGATGCAACACAAAGCTGGATCTTCAGTAATGCAGTGTTATTGAAGATTTTTTTTTTTAAGTTTTTTTTAATAAAACACAGAGGAGCATGTCAAATGCAATTAGATTTCAAAATATTTTTTTTCTTTTTGAAAGCTTATTTTACCATCTAACATAAGTATCTGTCATGCAGTCTGAGCTGCTATCCCACAGTACATCTTGTTAGCAGTGATGTCATGACAGAAATGTTACAACACTGCATTCTAATCACCTTGCACATTGGCATGAATTTAAAATTTTCTGCTGAAAGGATAATTTTTTTTTTTAAAGAAAAAATTAGCTTTTATCTTGGATTCTCACAGAGATTTTTAAGAGCGGCATGACAGTTTTGAAAGCCACGCAATGTGAGACTACCATTTGAATTGATAAAAATGAATGGGAAACATACTGAACATCTTACCTGTAAAATCCTGGAGGCGCTTGCTGAACTAAGAAGTTTTTCTCCAGGCTCTGCAACACATCATTAAGCATTCTGACTCGGATGGGCACTCTCTCCTTGGGATCATTAGCTGGACGCATCTCATCTGACTGGAACAATTCTGCACTGTCCCTCAGACTTGAAGCCATTGCCAATAACTGATGAGTATCTAACTGGTCACCTAATAATAGAGAGAAGTACATGCAGACAAACAATTGAGAGGCAATTATTTATGACTGTTGTCTAAAACATAACAAATCCTTTTGAACAAAAAGGCAATATTGTTGTCTTTATCAGGGCCCAAGCCATGCCTGGTAGAATGACACCGGGGATCAATATGGCCCATATGTTATTTCAAGTTTATTGTGGTTTTGCACAAGTACAAACTTGTGATCTCTTGAGACTTCACAAACTAAAGAGAGTTGGACCTGGATAGCAGTTGGGTGGAAACTCCCCAAAGAAATCTCAGAGTTTACTAGAAAGTAGTAGTTAACTATCAGTAACTGGAACTTTTCCCCCTGAGACAGTACTTTTGGATGCCGGTTCTCGTGAAGGGGAAGGAATGGGAGCTCATGCTTAGATATCACAGTGACAACAGCTTCTCTTCATAAAATCCTAATGCAGAGCTTACCTGAATTCTGTCTATCACCCTACAATGCTAAGAATGCAGAGAGTGGGTAAGGGGTGATCATATGTACTGACTGAGTATGAATTCATTTCCATGGCTTTAAGCCAAATGAACACAACTTAAATGGACACTGGGCATGTGTACACGTACAGTTGCTGTGGCACCAATTTACTCTTGAGTAAATTACTTGCAAGTAAACGGTGCCAGGCAAGCATCTACACGTGCAGGGAAGCAGGAGCGGATTCACTGCCAATCTGCTCCTGCTTCCTGGGGCCCGGCAATGGGCCTCTGCCACCACTGGGGGGAGCTCCAGGCTCTGGCTGCAGCTGCCACCAGCTGGCAACCCTCTTCAAAAGCCAGCCCTGCTTGCTGCTCTCTGGCCAGCCACTTCCCTGGCCAGGAGAAATAGGCCTAGCGCAGGAACAGTATGTAGCAGTGCTCTCCTTCCCACCTGTGCCTTACCGTACTTTGGCGGATCCAGCCCCTGACCATGGCAGAGACAACAAGCACCCCATGCTCCTGCTGGCTGCCATGCTAGCCCAGCTGGCCTGCTGTGCTGACCACCGGCTGGCCCATGGCCATCTCACCCCTTCCAGCTCCCCCACATGCAGCGACTGCCTGCCTGCTTGCTGCAAGCTGTCCCAAGACTCTCGCCGTGCACCTGCTACCTTGACCCCACCCACCTGGGTGGACCCCAGCAGAGACACCAGTGATGGACTCCAAGATGCCACCACCGGGGCCACCATTGCCCTGTTGCCCTCCTGAACCTCCAGCCCTGCCAGGCCAGTCGGAACTGGTGGTGGCATGTGGTCCAGCATACCTGGGACAATGAGCAGTGGCTGGAGGCCTTCTGCATGACACATGCCACCTTTTCGGTCCTCTTGGAGCACCTGGAGCAGTAGAACACTGGCATGTGGCTGCCCCTACCCATTGACACATGCCTGGTCCTCAGCCTGGTCAAGCTTCTCATGCCCACCAGCCTGCAATATGCCAGCGACCTGTTTAGTGTGGGCACGGTCACTGCCGGGGAGGCTGTCCTGGATGTTTGTGGCATCCTCCAGGATGTGACGGGGGCCAACGTGCTCTGCAAGCACAATGCCTTGGCAATGGTAGCAGGGTTCAGTGCTCTGGGATTCCCCCAGTGTGTCAGGGCCCTCTATAGGACTCACATCCCTGTCACCTGACCACCACACAGAGACCATCCCTACTACAGCCAGAGGGGCTTTCACTATATGGTGCTCCAAGCTGCTGTGGACCACCGCGGGGCCTTCATGCATGTGAGTGCTGGCTGGGCAGACAGTGCTGACACTGCCTGCCCAGCCTGTGTCTTCTGGAACTCTGGCCTGCCAGGTCTGGTAGAGAGTGGGCATTTTGCACTGAGGCTGCTGGACCTGCAGTTGGGCACTATGGTGGTCCCACCCCTCCTCATCAGAGACCCTTCCTACCTGCTCCTGCCCTGACTCATGTGGCCCTACACCAGCCACCTAGACCCATACCAGGCCCACTTCAACTGCTGCCTGGGCCAGACCTGAATCTTTAGCCACCTCAAGAGCTGCTGGCACACCCTTGCCACCCTCCTTGACTTTGACAACCTGGGTCATCATTGCAGCCTTTGTGAGGCATAACATCTGTGAGCCCCAGGGGGAGTTCTGTGGGGCCTGGGTGGAGGAGGTGTGATGCATGGAGGACACCTAGCAGTAGAAGCATCACCTGCAGCAGCACCAGTGCCCCTCCACACTGAGGCCCCAAGAGAACTGTGCACCTGCCAGAAGGGGCCAGGGCACCTGGTACAGGAAGCACTGGCTGAGAACCTCCTCCAGCACTTTCAGCTCTTACCCACCTGTACGTCCACCCATAGATCCCACTCCACTCCTCCTGTGCACCCCCCAGCACCGTGCTTACTGCAGATATGTCTCACAAGAACAAGCTTTTATTCCCCTCACATCAAACAACGCCCCCAACAAACAGAACCCCCCTCATTCCCCAACAAACAGAGTCCCTCCACCGCACACCCCACCCACCAACAATAAAACACCTTCTTCCCAGTGAAAACTTTGTTCAGTGTCCTTTATGTGCCATCCCAGGGAGGGGAGCCATGAGGTGGGGGTACATAGGGGACACAGCCTAGGGACAGGTGGCCAATAACCCTGCCTTCGGCTGCTCCCAATGAGTGCGGTGGGTGGGGAGGCTCACCCAGGTGCAATGGCAGCTGGTTCTCCCCCAGCACAGGTGGCTAGCCCTCCAGCAGCCAGCGTCCAGGCCCAGCAGGGCCAGTGTATGGTCCTGACCCTGCTTCAGGCAGCTCTGGCTCTGTGCCCACAAGAAAGTGGAGCTGTACCTAGGGTGAATTGGGAGGACTGCCCCAGGCCCTGCACTTTAGGGTGCCCCATGGAGCTGGGCAGAGCAGCCATGACCCCTCCTACAGGGCCCACCTGGAGCTGGTAGCTCAGCCCCATGCTACATAAGAAGCATCTGGCCACTCACCACCCCCTCCCCACACCCGCACAGTGTGCTGATGGCTTTGCATCCACTGAAGAACAGCTCATTCAGGGTGTGTGGGATCTGCTTGGCCCCAGGTGCCAAATTTCATTGCTATGGCACTGCTGTGCCCTGCCTTTTTGGGGGTCCCATGTCCCCATGCAGTGTTAAAGGGGCCCTGCACAGGCTGATTTGCCTCGGGCCCTGCACCCCACTAGGGTCGACTTTGAGGGTGAACGGTGGGGCTCAGAGGCACCAGACCTGTGGCTGGGGCCAGGCCAGAGGCTCCTGGCTGTTGGAGGGGGTGAAGAACCTCCTCCCAGGCCCTGGTGGAGGCCTGCTGCTGGATGGTGGGTGGCTGCCAGGGGACAGGTGGGGCTAGGGTCAGGGGCCAGGCAACAAGCAGCATGAAGGCAACCACCAGGGCCAGAAGAGTGTCCAGCAACCAGCAGTCATTATCTCTGGCCTGCACTACCTGGTCCATGATTGCATTCTATTCCTGCAGGACATCCACCCACTTGCATTCCAGGACCGGGAGCTGTGCCCAGAACTCCCAGTCTGCCCAGTCCGCCCAGCCGTACGCTTCCTTGTACTGATCCCATGCCTCCTTGTGGGTGATATCCTCCATCTGCCACCTATTCTGGCAGGCTACATCCTCCGCCCACCACCTGTCCTGGTGGGCCAGGTCCTCCACCTGCCAGGCCCAAACATCCCCTAGCTGGTCCTCTGACACTATGACCAGGTGACCCAGGAGGAGGGTCCTGTCCCGAGTCCTTCTATGGCAGGTCTGGTGCATCTGGCTGTGGGCAGTGGTGACCCTGAGGCTGCATGCTGGATGCCAAGGGTGGCCTCTCGACTGTCTGCAGCTGCAGGCTCTGTAGAGCCATGAGACAGAAGCTGTTTGTGAGAGTTTGCAACATTTCAGAGATAGGTTCTGTACCAGGGGCTGTGCTCTGCCAGACCTCAGATCAGGGGTCAGGCATGCACAGGTAACCAGGGACCATGGTAAGTTGGCCTGGCAGGCTTGGGCCCAGGCAGTTGCTGGCTGAGCCCTGCATCCCCGCTTGTTCCCTTGGGGCTGGCAGGCCGCTGAATGCTGGCTGCAGGCAGCCTGCCTACCCTAACCCCTTCCAAGGGTGGAACAGGCCAAGCTCCTGGCAGCTCCTGCTGCTGTGGCTCCAGAACCTGCTCCCCCCACCCCGCATCTCCTTCTGCAGGCTAACCACTCTCTGCTGTACTACCACCCAGTACACGGCATCCAGGCTCAGGGGGTATGGGGCTCCCAGGTGACTGGGACGAGAAGCTGCCTGTGGTCCCACCCTCCTAGCAGGAGACCTCTCTGGGGAAGCACCATAAAGCCAGCTTCCCCTACACCACTGCTGCTCCCCAAGTGTGTCCCTGCTGTGCATGCCCTGGGCGGTGCAGGAGGAGCTGTTTGTGTGGACCAAGAAGTACCTGACCCACTATGTCCTGCTGCTGCTGATGGCCATGGTGTCCTGGGCACACCTGTGCACCTGGTACAGGACCCTGAGCTATGACAGCACAGGGAGCAAGCCCTGTCACTTCCTGAAGGACTACTCATGGCTGAGCTACATGTTCCTGCCCACCACAGCTGAAGAAGATATTGCCACCAGCATTGGCACATTCGTTGGTGTGTGAAAGGCCCATGTCCACCTAGCTGCAGGGGCATGAGCTGACCGCAGTTTGGCACTCTCTCCCACTTCCCTGTGTGCTGTGGAGGAGGAACTGGGGATAGGGGAGTGCAGGCAGGCTGTGGGGGGGAGAGGCAGGGGCCACAGCTGGGGTCAAGGCCAGGGGTAGGGAAAGCTGGAGAGCCCCAGAGTGGGGCTTACCATGTGGCCAGAACAGGGGTTGCTTGTGGCCCTGGATGTTCACAGCTGTCGGTGATGGCATGTGGTTTCAGGCAGTGTCTTCAGATGGTGGGGCACAGCAGGTAGGCATCTGGCCAGGGGCCCTCCCAGGGAGGAGATGGTGCTGCTGGTGGCTGGCAGTGTCATGGCTGGCCACACCTCTTGGAGAGAGCTGGGGCTGTGGACCTGGTGTGGCAGGCTCTG